GTGGGGCCAATATTAACAGGATTTAAATTGTGGGGAAAACAATTAAAAAATAATAATGAAAAAAGAGGATACACACATTGTATTTCCAAGAAGCATCCTTTTGGGAGAAAAACCAATAATTGAGTGGCTTGCCCTATTGCTATGATTCTTTGTTGACTTGCTAATTAATGTAACAATATTGAGGAATATGAAAGAGAGAGAGAGATATATATATATATATATATATAAAAGAAAATACAAGGGTTATTTTTTTTTAAAAAAAATGAGAGTTGAATTTCTAAAATCCTAAAAGTGACCTAAATTTGCAAAATTATAAACTAGTCATAAAGACTAAATTGAAATTTTATTTTTTCAACATTTGCAACGTTTTACCATGTGTTTTTCAGGTTTTTAAATTAGAATTTTTTTTAACATTTATAACCTGATTAACAACTATTATAATGATATTCAAAATTCCATTAATGCTATTTACCATGTGTTTTCTAAGTTTTTAAACTAAATTTTTTCAACATTTGTAGTATGATTAACAACTCTCAATCAATATTCACAGCTCTGTTAATATCATAGAATTAGACTCATACTAATTTTTTTCAAGTTCAAAAACCTATCATAAGTGGTTAATGACGTTAATAGAGTTGTGAATATAAGAGTTGGCAATCATGTTACAAATAACTAGTAATTTAAGTATGGTTTTCTGAATACTGTTGGCAACCATGTTATACTTGTTGAAAAATTAAAATTTCTAGTTGCATTAAACGAGGTTAATTGCTGACTAAATTGGCAACCATGGTACTTTGAAAGTTGGCAATATTCACATGCAAGTGCAACCACGTTATAACAAAAATTTCTTGACTAAATTGGCTTGAATATTGTTGGCAAACTATGCTGAGAAGACTTGGCAACTGCGTTATACTTCTTGAAAAATTAAAATTTCTAGTTGTATTAAATAAGGTTAGTTAATTTCATAAGTTACTTCAAAAACGTTTAATAGTTTGTTTGATAAGAAGGAAAAAAAATGATATTTAAATAATATGAGTTTACAAATGCAAATAGCCGATTAAGTGAAATGAATTCCCAAGAAATTAAAAAAAAAAACTGAAATTGGAATGTCCTAAAGTTAATAACAGGAAAATCAAAAAGTAAAACTAAAATCTCCTGCCAAGTAACATTGAGAGTTGAAGATGACTGGGGAAGAATTTGAAGAAAAAATTTCCGACACATTAAGTTGTTAAAGGACCTTTTAAGATGAGTGGTTAGAGTCCTGTGTGACGAATCCAGAAAAGAACAGCACGAAAATATTTGGAAAGAAAAGTTGTTCTTGAAGTTATTTTATTTTCCCACAAAAATTCCTCCATGGGAGAACTATTATAACAAATAATTTCATGGTAAAAGTATTAACTCTATGCATTGGTTTTATTTCTCAAATGATATGTCTTGTGCACATTATTTGGAGGAAAAGGGATCATAATCATTTTTTTTAATGTACTATTCTTGGTCCTCATATTTGGCACTAGTCTCTGAAGTTTCAAAGAGTGGATTTGGGTTCAAGTTTTGTCTGTTTGTATCGTTAGTCCTGGAACTTTGAAAAGGACTTGGATCGGTGTAACCCCATAAAACTTGCTAAGGTGTGCCGATAAGGTGGAAGTTGATGTGAAAAAAAATAATAAACTGATATCTTTTAAATATATTATATAATAAAAGAGGGAATAAAAATAGAACCATCGGAGAAGAGCCATATTTTCGGGATTGATCCCACTCGGTGAAGCAGCGGATCCTAAGAGGCCTGATGTTGTAGAGGTTGTCGACCACGAGCCAGGGGTACAGGTTGATGATCGAGCTGGCTGTTAGAAGCAACGCCATGAAAGAAGAAGAAGAAGAGAGGATATTAAAGTTGAGAACAAGAGGTGAGGGGTGGGAGACAGGCTGACATATACGAGGAGGGAGGGAGTTGGTGAACTGAATTATGAATGATTGTGTGTATATATCAATAATGAAGATCTGTATGGGGAACTGAATGAAATGAATTACGGGAGGACGGGGGAAGATGAGTAAGGATTAATTACTGAGTCGGTGAACTCAGTTTCAATCCCCCGACAGTGTTCATAGGCACGACTGCTGCTTCATGAGCTGCCTCTGTTTTTTTGTTCCAAAAACAGAGATAAACAGAGCCATAACTAAATACTCCAACTCTTGCATACTTAAGTGGGAAAAGGCCATAATCTTTCGTGGTCATTCCCTCGCACGGACAATGGGTGAGTTCTGAGGAAATACAACAAGAATTGATGAATTTATGCACGTTGGGTCTGGGTTATATATCTCATATAAGAACAAGTGGAGGTGGACGGAACTGTGTGGGGAGTGGAATACATTAGCTCTTTGTTATTTCCTTATAGGACCAAAGCTCACACTTTAAAACCTTAAACACCAATATCAAACTGAAAATAAAATGTAAGGATAAAAAATAATGTTAACCCAATTGCATAAGACTGTTCTTTTGGAGACTCAGTGATACAACCTTAAGCCATTCCTTGAAACCAATAGAAGTTAAACGAGGAATTTTGATATTAAAACACCCATAAAGTTCTTGTTTATACTTTTTTTTTTTTTGGCAATTAAAGCTATCTCTGGGTTATACTTTTTTTTTTTAAAGGTAAACGTTCTTGTTTATACCTTATAGTACTCAATCATTGTCATTACCCAAGCTATGCGCTCGAATAATGTCTTGTCGCTTCATGACCTGTTTTAGTTTTTTATATGAACTTTTTTAAGTTTTAACCCAAAAAATAGGAAAAATGATTATTGAAAATCTCAAAATATAAGGTTAGTCCCAAATTAAAATTTCTTAAATATTTTTGGTGCGGAGATATAAGAAAATGAGTACTTTGTTTAGAAACTGAGTTTTGATCCACGTCTTGATTTGGTATTAACTTTCTTATATGAGGTACTTAATTATCATTCTTTAACAAAATAGGAAATTTCTTTTCCAATTATAAAGAATAAAATATGAAGTTGTCTAACCTCTCCTCGTATTACCAATTAGGAACGGGAAGGGGAAAAAAATTTTTTTTTATGGGACAAAGATAGGACAAGAAGACGTCCCATCTTAAGTATTTCCTTTTAAATAAATTTTCTTATTAATAATTATTATTATATTATTCAATTTATTCGTCAATAATAGTTTTTACGGTGATTTTCAGCTCTTCAGTTGCGATGTATCTCAACAAAATCTTCTTTCTCAATAAAATAATTTATAAATCTATTATACAATATTTTTCATGGTATTTCTTTGTAGTATTGTTTCTTTTTACATTATATAATTAGGCTTTATACATAACAATTTTTTTATTTTTTTACTTCATAAGTACAATGAAAAACAAACATTGTAACACAAAAAAATCTAGACCCAGAATTGTAATAGCTTTGAAAAAAAAAATAGAATGAGATACCCTGTACCAGTCTCACAGTCTCTAGAAATGTCGTCCCATAAACAGGCCTATTACCAATTAAATGAGATGAAATTTTTAATTTACAAAATTTAGAAAATTAATTATATCAAAGTTAAATGCCAAACATGGTATTAAAATAGTTAAAAAAATTTTTTTGGAAGTAATATTTAAAAAAATTCAATTTTAAAATTAGAGATGTTTATATTCTTTCTTAATATTGATAATAATCCTCGGAACATTGGGTCCTTATTCTTGAGTCAACAGGTCGAAATGAGATTCATCACTGTTGAATGACACAATGTGAAGTTTATAGTTGTAAATACAACGAAATCCATAATATTTATTCTAGACACAGATAAAAAATTAAGTTAATTAATTAATTTTTTGACAATTTTATTAAAGTAACTAATTTTTTGACGAAACAATTAAAATTAACATATATTAAAAAGTACTAAAATAGTTACTCCCTCTATCCATTTTTATAGGATAAAATTATGCACTTTTTAGGTAACAGGAAAACTATTTCATTAATTACAGGAACTGTCATAAATATTAAATTATATAGATATTCATAACATCTCCCAAGCTCTTGGCCTTTCATACCGAATATTTCATAATTTCTCTAATAAATGATTTTTTATTTTATTCCGTAACTTAAAAGATTGCACTCATGTGAATTTTTTTTCCAAAAAACGATAAATATAACAATAACAAACATACGACTAGGGGTGTTCAAGGCCGGCCCGTCCCGGTCGGCCCGTTCCAGTCCCGGTCTTATTGGGACGGGATGGAATTTCGGGACGGGGCAAACCGGGACGGGACAAAAAAGGGACCGGGACGGGACGGGACACGGGACGGGGTCGTCCCATCCCGGTCCCGTCCGGTTCCTTTTTTTTTTTAATTTTTTTATTTTTTATATAATATCATTTTTTTTCATATTTTTTTAAGATTTGAGACTATTGTATGAAACTATGGATATATTTATTTAGAGTTTTTATATTTGTTAATGATTTGAGATTATTGATGATTAGAATTTTTAGCAAGTTTTATTGTGTTAAAAGCTTTTGTTTAGAGTTTTTAATGACTATTATATGTAATATTTTGAGCTTTTGTTTAAGAGTGCCCAAACAAATAAAAAAGATGTTTTTATAAGATTTAAGCTCAAAAAAATATAATTAAAAAAATCAGATTTTTTAAAAAAATTAAAAAAAATTTTAAAAAAAATTAAAAAAATTAATTTCAGGACGTCCCGGTCTCGTCCCGGATCCGTCCCGTCTCAACCGGGACCGGGACAACCCCGGGACGGGTCGAGACACGGGACAGAAAATCTGTCCCGTTACTGTTCATTGGGACGGAACCGGGACGGGCCTGTCCCGGTCCCGATCCGTCCCATGAACACCCCTACATACGACCTCCATATGCGTTACAGAACAGTGCAAATATCATTTTGGTGACAAGAAGGAAACCAAAAGCTTAGAAAATCAAATTGCACAAACACAATAACAAAACGAAGAAAATCTTAATAACACGAAATTCACTCCTTTTTTTCCAGCGGAGAAATTAATGTCAAGTAGAATCAGGAGACGGACAAGGAGGAACAGCCACTTCCGTAACTCCCTCAAGCATCAATACCACACTCTTCATTGATGGCCGAAGAAAAGGCTCGTCTTGAATACACCATAACCCCACTTTCACCATATTCTCCAGTAAGCTATTATCCACTTCTTCCCCAGCAACCAGCTTGTTTAGCTCCCTCCGAGCAAAACACTTGTACACCCAATTGGACAGAACAATTTGCTCTGGATTCAACATATTGACCACTAAGCTTTTTCTGCAAAATACAATCTCCAAAAGCATTATTCCATAGCTATAAACATCTGCTTTCACTGTTATTGGAGTGTTCTTATTCCACTCTGGAGCCAAATAGCCTCTCGTGCCCCTAACTTGAGTGAAGGTTCTTGTTTGATCCGGCATTAGAAGTTTGGCTAACCCAAAGTCTGATATTTTAGCTCTGAAAAACTCATCCATCAATATGTTTTGAGGCTTTATGTCACAGTGAATGATGGGAGCCTTGCATTGTTCATGCAGATACAACAAGCCTCTTGCAATGTCCAGTGCTATTCTTCTTCTCTCATCCCAATCTGGACGTACAGTACTGTCACCAAAGATGAGCTTCTCAAGGGAGCCATTACTCATGTACTCATAAACCAGAAGCCTTTTAGATCCCTCAGCACAATATCCCAGTAAGCGAACTAAGTTTTTGTGGTGTGTTTTCCCAATGGCTCGCATTTCAGCTTGGAATTCTCTCTCTCCTTCTTCAATAAACCTGTGTAGCCTTTTTACGGCAATCAGTTTTCTTCCTTTATGTAAAGTTCCTCTGTAAACTGATCCGAAAGAACCCTTACCCACCTCTTGTTTGAAGCCATGTGTTGCTTTCTTGAGCTCATTGTATGAAAATACCCTCAGAGTAGTACCTTCGCTCAAGCCTAAATCTCCAGTCTCCAGCAACCTCTTGTAACTTAAAACTCCAATCTTGTATATAAATCGGCTAGAGATTGCAACAGCAGAACACAAAAGAATAACGAAACTCAAAACAATGAGAATGATCACCTTAATTGCTTTCTTACTGGTAGTCTTGATGGGAGGTGGTTGGTCAGGCTCAGATATGGAAAATGAAGCATTGTTGCTTCTGAGGCTCTGATTTCCCACCTTGAAGTATATTGTATAGGAGGAGGAGGACACTTGTGTTTCTCTGCCAATATATCTTAATGGAAGTTCTTGTTTCTTGCAGCGATTGTTTTCATAAAATGCAGCCCCACAGAAACAGTCTTGCAAACAAGAAAACGGGCATTCCCCCTCTAAAATGTCTTCCTCTGTATAAGGAAGATCGAGATCACCTACTCTCATATGTTCCATGGGGTACATGAAATAAGAAGTTGCATTGTCTTTCCCACCCTTACATTCTGCTTCTGAGAAGTTCCTTTTGCATCCCAGATTATGATCACTTGGGTCTGTAAAATCAGTTCCGGGAAGACAATTACAATAAGGTTGGTTGTCATTGACGGTACAATAGCTGTTGAACCCGCAAAAAGAATTCACATTACAAAGGTTGTCCAAATCTGGTGGTGACCATAACTTCATAACTTGGTGTTTCCCATCTGCGTTGTCAAAATGAGCATAGAGTCGTAAAACTCCATCAGAATGAATAGTTGCGCGATAAATAGTTTTGTTTCCTTTGAAGCTGCTATCACCCCTCCACCAAAGTATTTCTGAGTTGGAACTACTAGCATTTACAATGCACAGAGGCTGAGGATCTGTGTTGTTGAGGAAAAGATAATATTTGAAACTTGTGCCATGATAAGTGGTGTCAGAGGCCCAGTAAGCATCATAAGCTGTACGACCAGAATATCGTGGGTACAGAACAAGGTTTCCATCAGCCTGCATAGAGAGTTGAAACCTTCCAGAAGATTGGTTGGTGTCTGATGAACTAGACACCAATTGACTCCCAGAATGTAGTTTTTGACCCCCTAACATGGTATCAGTTGGGTAATCGAAACTCTGCCAAAGGATGTGTAAACTTTCGTTTTGCAGAACAAAGTTTCCAGAATCAAGCATGGAAGCAGAGGAAACATTTCCTTTGTTACTATGAGCAATAACCTTCGGTTGCCCTTGATCTGTTCGTAGAGAAAGCTGACCTCTCTCGGTTAGAACAAGCTTTGCATTTGAGAAGACAGGAGGGTCATCGCGATTTGCAGTCCAGACGATTGTTTTATTAGTCCCATCAAGTAACCAGATTCCAACTTTGAAGCCGTCGCTTGGATTGTAAAATCCAAATTTAAATCGACCAGAATTTGAAGACCATGAAGAGTTAGGACCAAGGGGGGAAAGTGACGAGCGGAGGGGTATGGGTTCTGCGAATACCACTGTTTCGCATAGAAAATATACCAAAAGGAGAAAGTAGATGTTTAGTGGAGTGGTAGCCATGGCCAAGAAAATCTCACAGAATTGAGGAATCGCCAATGAACAAAAGGGATTGGTGCGATGAAAGACCTACGGCTGAAATTATATTGCAGAATCTCAAAGTTCTCTTCCATGTCCTCCCCAGAAGTGATGAGAAATTTCCTTGTTTATTGATCGTGGCTTTTTTCAATGGAAGAAATTGGCTAAGGCGCGTTTGGTAGGAAGAATTGACTTTGACGTAAGGGAACGGAAGGGGAGGACAAAATTTCTGGCCGCCGGAACATTGGGCATGCGAAGGAAGGAAAAGAAAAATAATGAATTAAAAAAATTAAAAAACACACAAATTAACCCAAAACGTGTCTCATGACATAATTAATAAGTCACATTAAACACAAATAAATATAAAATTGCCTTTTTTTTGCCATTTAAAATATCAGACTTATCATAATTCATTTCATTTTTAATTAGGTCTTTCTAGATATTTTTTTTACTGAGTGTTTATAATTTTATCAATTATATATATTAATTTTATACCCATAATTTATTTATTTTAAAGAGAAACAATTTTAGTAACTAATTTCATAGGCATGGATTGGAATGATTAACTCTTCTCTCACATGGAAAAATATGTTGCCACCTAAGGCGGAAGGAAGCTATTTTTTTCCCTTCATCTTTTAAAAGAAAGTGGGTCTCATACAAGGGCATTAATCTCTTCATAACAAACGCGCCTGATGATGAAAAATGTGCAATCTTCCTTTTCCTTTTCGTAAATTTTCTCTGTAACAAACAGGCTGCGAGAATAACCTACACATGAAATTCCAAATTAAGAATATTTATTTTACGAATTTTTTAAATTTATCCTAATTATAGAATGACCAGAGATGAATTTTTAATTTAAAATCTTGTATGGTAATTCTTAACCCACTTAAATTTCTGATACTTAAAAATAAGTTTGAAATAATTACTTTATGTATTTGACCTCCAAATTAATACTTATTTATATTTTAATTACCTTTTAAATAAATTTTATTTAATGCATTACAAACGCGGATTTTATTACTTTAGAGGAGAATTAGAATGACGTCTCAAGGAGAAAAAATTATGATCAACAAGTCTTAATATAAGTGAGCAATTATTATTTATTATCCTCCAAGTTGTCACTGTAAACTGCTCTATTTTTATTAAAATTTTTTAGTAATTATATTCCTTACTTTCTATTTCATAGCAATTCTTCCTTCCTTCATATACAGATAGTTGTTGTATTTTGCTATTTAATTTTAATATTTTAACAAATAGACTTGGTCAATGCTGGAACATGATTGACTGAATGCAATGGGTTAACTTTTGTTTCCTTTTCCAGCTAAAGGCTTCTTTATGAATTAAAGAGGGAAAAAATTGCTTTCATAATGGATATGGACATCCAAAATGCATCATATTGTCGGAACAATCATGGGATGACCATGACTTTTTTTTTTAATAATTAAAGTTCCTTTTTTCTTTTTTAAAGTTAATTTCTATCTACAATGCCAAATGTTATGTTAGTATGAAACTCAACTGACATGGTTGAATTAGGTTAATAAAATTTTTTGACAAAAATAAATCTAATATAATAAAGTAATAAATTTGAGATGGAGACAAGTAAATATATACACATATATATAATACTTTTGATTTTTGATATAAGATTTAATTTATTATTGAATTATATTAAGGGTTGAAGCTAGTATCTATTAACTTATATGTGTATATATTATGTTTTCTAATAGCTATTATTTTATTTTTTTTGGGGAAAAAAAGTTCTCTCTTTATGAAACTTATTAGGAAATTATACTTTAATAAGAAGGTTGTTGTACCTCTCCCTGAACCATTTATTCATAAGCTGATAGAGTACCCTTCTTATTATTTAAAATTGCCGTATAAGTCGGTAACAGGAGTTGAGTCTGGTAAGAGAAGCTAACCTTTCACAATTTGGTGAATCAACATTTGAATCCTCATCAAGATAGCTGCTCACCTTAGTACCCGATAGTGTTTTAAATAGGATTGCTTTCAATTAAAAAATACCTATATTTGACAAAAAATACATTTCTTATGTATTTATTACTCTTACCAATTTAACAATTTTTTTTAAATAACGTAATTTGGTTGTTAGAATCTTATAAAAAGATCCAAGAGAATGATTCATCCGAGAGATAAGGTTGTTTCCCAAAAGTCCTTTAATAAAGTTTCAACGAATAGATGTGTCTGTAGTTTAAATTAATAGCAAAATAATTATCAATTATCTTTTCCTTTTTCTTAAAAAAAACTCCTCGTAAATTCCCAAAGATCTCTCTTAGGGGGTGTTTGGGTTCCAACCCAAACCATGGTTTGGGAAAAAATTGCACAAACACCCTTAAAAAAATCAAAACCATGGTTTTGGAAAAAGCAAAAAATTTTTGCTTTTGGAAAAAAAAGGGAGAGTGTGAAAGCCTATAGGATATGTATCTTGTGTTTTTTTTATAAACATATTTTTTTATAAATATATTTAATCTTATATCTTATAAATATATATACATATTAATTATTTATTAATTATATTATTTTATGTATTATTAATTATGTTAATAAAAAATATATTATTCACAATTTTATTCCTTCAAATTAAAATATATCATAAAATATATTTTTTCTGTAATTATCATATTAATTTATGCCTTTTTTTAGTAATTTGTACATGTAAAAAGTGCTTCTGGTAACAACTATCCAAACACTCTCACTTCTCAGAATCACTTTTTCACAAAATCTATTCTTCAAAAAATCTATTCTCCAAAAGCTATTCTCCAAACCATAGTTTGGTTATATCCAAACACCCCCTTATTCTCACTTTATATAACATGCGGTTGGTTTATTGATGGGCGTATTTTGGCTTTTCGATGAGCTTTGTTTGGTTTGGAATTTGTATTGGGCTCACAAGATCAATAGCTGTTTCTTTGATTGAATGCACATCATGGATCACGATTGGGTTTGGGAAATATAAGGATGGCAAAAGGTTGATAGGAAGGAGTTAACTTATAACTTATAATCTGTAAAATTGTGAGTTTAAATTCTATTATTAATATGAGAATTTTATTTGTGAGTTTAAATTCTATTATTAATATGAGAATTTTATTACTAGGTAATTTATAAATTTTTATATATGTGTTTTTTGAGCCAGGAGGTGTATTTGGTTCAAGTGAACCAAACTCACCTTTTTTTTTTGTGCGAAGAAAATTCAAACATATTTTGAATTTCAGAATTAGATTGCAAATCACTTGACAAGATTTTGATAGAATAATAATAACTCAATTTAGCTATTTTGTAAGTCATATAATTTTTTTTTATAGAGATAGCAAATATTTTTTGAGAGTTAAGAGTCAAATATTATATATGTAATAATTAGATTTTTTTTTAAATATACAATCAATTTAACTTAGCAGAGATAAATCAAGTTTACATTTTTAATCCATTTAATTATGAAAGTTGAAACCAAAATAGTTTGTTTAATCCTTAACCCACGTGGGTTAAAATAAATCGTTCCAATTATATTGATTTGCCTTTTGGTCAACAAAATCAAGCGCATAATCAAATATTTTAATCATCATATTTTTGTGCTTGCTTTGCAAAGTGCAAATTTCACATTTTCTGCTCCGTGAGATTCCCTAGCTACCGATTGTCGGCCCATCGCCCTTCTTCAAGGAAATTACACGAAAATGATTGAAACAAGTCAAGAGTCTTCGCTCGTTTCTAACTTTCCCATAGTTCATGTTCACGTCTTAACCCGCTTTTTTTTTTTTTTTTTTTTTGAATATTTCCCTCAAAATCAGTCCCAAAAATGCCAATTTATATAGGTTGGATAGCACCTGCATTTTCCCAATTTCATATCCTTCTTGATTTCTTCGGAGTTCTGCTAACCAATCTTCTCTTCCTCCTCGTCCATTCTCCCGCCACACCATATCATCCATGTCCCCCATTCCTCTGTTCTTATTGTCTGTAGTTCTATCTGCAAACCAAGTTAGGGCTCAAAACAATGATTCCAACGTCATAAATTTGGGTTCTTCTCTCTCCCCAAAAACGAATTCTACTTCATGGGTTTCACTGTCGGGTCATTTTTCCTTCGGCTTTTATCCGCAAGATAATGGCTTTGCTGTTGGAATATGGCTAATGGGTGAACCAGAAGGAACCATCGTTTGGACACCAAACTTAAAAAATCTATCTGCTTCCTCTGATTCAGTAATTGAATTAACCAAAGAGGGTCAGCTTCTGCTCAGAAACGAGAAACAGATGGAAGTAGTCATTGCTAACGCGTCTGAGCCTGCGGTTTCAGCATCTATGCTTGATTCTGGGAATTTTGTGCTTTATAGTAAGAATCATAGTGTCGTCTGGCAAAGCTTTGATTCTCCCACGGACACCATATTAGGAGGTCAGAATTTATCTGAGGGACAAAATTTGACTTCTGCAAATGGACATTTTACTCTCAACATGCAGAGTGATGGAAATCTTGTTGCCTACCCTGTGAATAATGAAAGAGAAGACGATGCTTACTGGCACTCAAATACTTCTCAACTACTTGTCTCACAACTTACTCTTAATCTTACAGGCTTTCTTTGCCTCAGCGATGATGATGGGGATACCATCAAAGTTCTGGCCAGTCGCAGCAATCGCGGGAGGAACACAAGCTTAATCTATTGTGCAACATTGGATTTGGATGGCATATTTAGATTGTATGTTCACACTTTTGAGAAGAATACTGGCTTCACCAGCCAGATTTTGTGGGAGGCTATTTCTGATCATTGTCAAGTCAAGGGCTTTTGTGGCTTGAATAGTTATTGTTTCATCGTGGCTGGCAAAGCTGAATGCAAGTGTTATCCCGGATTCAGCCCAATAAGTGGAAACAACAGCATGTTCTTGGTTTGTGATCAGACCATGAAAAATGATTGTATCACCAGTAGAGATCCGAGGATGCTATACAATATTAGTAGCCCATTGCAACATATGCAATGGAGCCTTATTCCTTATTGGAACATGCAATTGGAAATGGAAGCTTGTGGGAAGTCTTGCCAGGAAGACTGTGATTGTGGGGCAGTGTTACATGAAGATGGCAGCTGCAAGAAGTATAAGCTTCCGCTTGCTTTTGGCAGAATTAATAATACTGTATCAACCACAGCCCTCTTCAAGTTGCCTTCAATGAATGCCATTCATCCAAAAAAGCCAGAGGTTGTTGTTGACCACAAGAAAAATCTAATTTTTACTCTGCTCATCGTTCTAGGCTCGATTTTATTCCTTTGCTTAGTCTTTGCAATATCTATTTTCTTCATCTACATGCATAAAGTCTATTCATACACAAAGCTCGCTGCTAGTAGCGAAAATTTGGGGTTTGTTGAGGATTGTAGTTTACGAACATTTACCTTTGATGAGTTGGTGAATGCAACTAGAAACTTCAAAGAAGAGATCGGTAGAGGATCTTTTGGAGTGGTTTACAACGGAACAATTCAAGGAAATCATCAAAGGATAGCTGTGAAGAAATTAGACAATGTTGTTGACGAAGGAGAAAGAGAATTTCAAGCTGAAATCACTGCAATTGCCCAAACTCATCACAGAAATCTTGTTCAGCTTATTGGTTATTGCATTAATGGTTCAAGAAAGCTTCTTGTTTATGAATACATGAGCAATGGGTCCCTAGCGGATTTTCTGTTCAAGGCTCAGATGCATCTATCTTGGAAACAAAGAGTCAAGATTGCATTGGATGTCGCAAGAGGTATCTTATATCTACACGAAGAATGTGAAGTTTGTATCATCCATTGCAATATCAAGCCTCGTGACATTCTCTTGGATGAAATGTGGACAGCAAAGGTATCTGATTTTGGACTTGCAAGGCTATCAATGCCAGAACAGTCAAGAACCAGAAGTAGCAATGAATCAACAAGTGGCTATGTGGCACCTGAACGACAAAAAGATGCATTGGCGTCTGTTAAAGTTGACATCTACAGCTATGGCGTGGTGCTGTTGGAGATCATATGTTGCAGAAGGAATATAGACGTGAATGCTCCTTCAGAAGAGGAAATAATGCTTTCTAGTTGGGTATATAATTGCTTTGTGAGAGGGGAATTGAATAAATTGGTAGTAGATGAAGATGTGGAATGGATTACATTGGAGAGAATGGTGAAGGTGGCCTTATGGTGCGTCCAAGAGGACTCATCTCTACGTCCTTCCATGAAGAATGTGATATTGATGTTGGAAGGGTTGAAACATATTCCAATTCCTCCATCTCCAATGCCTCCTATGGTTTGTGAATAGGAATCTGATTCTGTGTTTTTGATGTGTTTATTCTGATTATTATGTTTGTAAGCATGTAGTATGTACTTTAGGCTTTAATTTCAATTTTGCATATGATCTTCGAAGCTATGTTAAGAATTGGATTACTTGTGTGCGTGTCATATTAGGTGTGTCTCTGGCATTGTAATGCAATTTTGTTCATTTGATAATGCTGTACTTTATGATGAAAAATATAGTGTTATTGATTTTGCAAAAAAAAAAAGTTTAAGTTGTCTGTCAAAATTAGAGTTGACAAAATAGGCTGACATGAGTTTTCTGGGTCAATATAAACTTGAAAAAATTGATAGAAAAAAAATCTCTGTTTGAAATTTTAATTAGCTAAAAGAACCTGAATTTGAGTGAGTGTAACTATGATATATAAGTACAACATATCTTTCATTGTGTACAAGATATATCAATTATGCGTAACAATCATCAATACAAAAATCATTTGCAGAAAGCAAAAGATATGTTACATGCAACGGAAGATATGTTACATTCATGTATCATAGTTGCACTTGTTCAAATTCAGGTTTTTTTAGCTAATTAAATTTTCAAATAAGAATTTTTTTTACCAAGTTTTCCTATAAACTTAGGCCTATACACCTTTCTATCCTAAATATTTAGACATTTTCTAAAGTCTAGCTTAAAGAGCTTGAATAACTTTTGCTAATTTAAATTTCTCATTATCATAGTAATATGAATACATGTACATTTTCAACCAATTAATTCATAATGATATTAAAGAGGAAAAATAGAACAACGATTGTTGATGGAGGCAGCGCCGCAGCACCAAGTGTAGGAAGCGAGGAGAAAGTAGTTGTTTACTTAGGAACCCATGAAATGCACAAAATAAATTTCAATAATAAAAGTAAAAAAATTAAATAAATAATAATTATTATAACATAATGTGAGAGAGAGAGAAAAGGAGGACATAATGTCTTTTGGGCCAACGAAGGAGGACATAGTTATCATAACCAACGCCTTATAAGTTTCTCTCCAGTACACCCTCTTGTCTTTGATGTGTTACAATCAGGGGAAAAAAAGAAGAAGAAAATAACAGAAAAATAATTCTTGAATTTGAAAATTCTCAAATAATCACTCAAATAAGTAAAATTTCAGCTTATAAAGCTGACCAAATTGGGATTTTTAAATTTGCTAAAATGATCATATTATACTTAATTTAAGGGGAAAAAAATCAAGCACTCTCATCGGTTGGGTGGTTGCCGGAGCTCCTGTTGTAACAACGAGGCTACTACACCTTCAAATTAATTAATATTAAAGAGTTAACCATGATAGAAAAAGGAACTTTGCAAAATGTTTTTAAAAAAAATCCTACCATGGTTATATAAACAACCTAAATCACATGAAAATTTATCATGATAGAAAAGAATTAAACCAATTCATAAATATGTCTACCATGGTTAAAAGAGTCTTTTTAAATTAACTGCATGCAAATAAAGATTCACAATAAATGGGTCTTTAGGCATTATGAAACCCAAAATGTCATCTTCAACCATAAACCCATAACACAATATTACTAAATAACATCTGTCATAACTTTCCAAAACCAAAAGTCATCTAGTGTCAAAGATTATTGTGGATCTACAACTCATATCAAAAATCACATGTAAATACCTAGACGCCTCCGGCCTTAATACTAGCATGCAATCCAATAATAGTTAATAAAAAATACACTGTTAAAATAACCAGTTCTAAGACAAATCAGAATATTTGGAATGTGTCCTGTTATGGAAAGATACATCTATCTAACACAATCAAAAAAGTAAAAGCGCTACAATTTTACAGTAGTAGCTCAAACTTCTGAAGCCTTCCTTGACAGACTCAAACGGGAACTATCACTTGAAAAAGTATTAAATCAATGGGGTGAGACAAAAGCCTCAGTAACCAACAATCCTACTTATCAAGCATATAAGTAACTACTCATGAGGTGTCAAGTGAAACCATTGCAAATTCATAGTATCCAAACAAATTTCATACTATTGAAGCATATAACAAAGTACAATAGATAATCCTCTCACCTCCCTTTGACTGAACCCATGGGTTAAATTTGTATCCATGTGATTGGTAATTAAACAAGCTTCCCGATCAAATGATATGGACCAGTCAAAATCCACAAAAGTACAAGATTGGACCATAGTTTTTCCCTCTAGTCCACTAGTAGGGTGTCAATGCCCTATAATAAGTAATTGAGCTAAAGAACCAACCAGTGTACACCTGATGACCCTACTACCTTATATTCTCAAATGTACATGATTCATCCCTTTATATCTTCTTTGGTATAATTCCCATCATCAACATCTGTCACCCCTCATATTAATACTCAAAAGATTATATTCATAATAAATCATCAACATGCCAACAAATTTTCAATTCCAATAACACATGAGATTATCATAGTCATGTGTGTGTGTATTATAAAGAAAGTCCCACAAGACCGTTTCAACAACAATATGATTTCATAGCTCATATAATAATTCAATAGTACTTTATAAATTTCATATAATTCAAAATCTATCACAAACAACATACAAGCATGCATAACAAGTAGAAAGTGGTTACCTCTCGCCCACTAAAAAAAATGATTACGACAAAGTTTACTTCTTGCTCAAACCAATAATCCAATAATTTAATCTACACAATCAATATATATACATATCAATACACAAGCTATTTAATCAATTACTTGAGTGAGTGTGTGTTAAAGTTTCTAATTCTATGTTAAAATTTCATACCTCTCATACCCCATAACTAAATCTTTTAGCACAAAATTATAATATTCTAACAATTAATATTTTTCATTTAAACCTTTCAAAATATTTTCTTTAATAAAAATTTCTCAAATTTTTAAAATCTGAAATTATAATATTTAAAATTCAAAAAATCCTATCTCAAATTTAAATTTTAAAAATAAACTATTAAAAATTCAATATAGATCAAATACACTTAAGTAAATAATTTAATCATAAGTTTAGAATAGAAATATCATATTTTTTCCAAATAAATATCTGTTTAATTAAAATAATTAATTTAAAGATATTAAATCAATCAATAAATAAAACTAAACTGATAGAAATGATTTACTAAAGTAATTCTACAATATTATGTTCATCTATCATCAAAACTCGACACTTACTTCAAATTTTAATTCCAAAAATTTTCTCCAAGTATAAAATTACTATCATTAAATAGATTTAGAAGAATAGGATAACTTTTATGAAATAAGTTTAGTGAAAAAAGTCATTTGGCTTATCCAAAATGATTTGCAAAATTATAACCTACGCTGGATTTTCAGAACGCGACGCTGTGCGGAAAATGGGAGAAGAAAGATCAACGACGCGGTGATGCAACGACTTAAAATAAAGGGAAAATGACAATAAAATACCACTTGAATTCCAAAAAGACAAATAAGGCACCTGAATAAGCAAAATGACAAATAGGACACTGGGTACCAATTTGGAATTCATATTTTCGGCCAAAAGACCAAAATGCCCTGATGAAATGCTGGAAGACCGACGCTGAAAGTGAGAGAAAGGAGAGAGAAAGACCGACGCAGTGAGAGAAAGGAGAGAGGAAGACCGACGCTGATGAAATGCGGGAAGAAGGAAAGAAGAATGTTGGAAATGCTATTATCTTACTCCTTCGCATCACCATTCTGTAGAGATTGTTGATTTTGGTTGTGGGAAAGAGAATTTGTAGTGAGAGAGGGAGTGAATCGAAGCGGAAAGATGAAGCGGAAATCAGAAAACTGGCAAGCAATTACGTAACGTAACTGCTGTCATATGTCTGCTGGTTTTTGGTAAATCCCATTACGTGAATGGTAAATTTCACTATACATGTAGTTAATTATGAATTTTACAAAATACATATTGTGATTTACAACTTTTGTAGTGAAAGTGACTACTTTGTTAATGGGTTTTGCAACCTGTTTTCAGGAGATAAACAACGTGTTTGTAAAAACTAATAAAATTTCACGCTAAATTTGACAAAACGTATAGTGGGATTTACAACTTCCATAGTAAAAATGACCACTTATTCAATGGGTTTTGTAACTTGTTTTCAGGGGATGGGCAGCTTGTTTCTAAAAACCAATAAAATTCCATGCTGAATTTTACAAAACATAGAGTGATATTTACAACTTTTGTAGTGAAAATTACCACTTCTTAAATGAGTTTTGCAACCTCTTTTCAAGGGATTGGCAACTTGTTTCTAAAAACCAATAAAATTCCATGCTGAATTTTACAAAACACACAGTGATATTTACAACTTTTGTAGTGAAAATTACCACTTCTTAAATGAGTTTTGCAACCTCTTTTCAAGGGATTGGCAACTTGTTTCTAAAAACCAATAAAATTCCATGCTGAATTTTACAAAACACACAGTGATATTTACAACTTTTGTAGTGAAAATTACCACTTCTTAAATGAGTTTTGCAACCTCTTTTCAGGGATGAACAACTTGTTTCTAAAAATCAATAAAATTTGACGCTGAATTTTACAAAACACACAGTGATATTTACAACTTTTATAGTGAAAATGACCACTTCTTAAATGGCTTTTGCAACCAGTTAATTCAACGTGACTACAAAAGTTGTCACTTTTATTAGTTTTTACAAACAGGTTGTTTATCTCCTGAAAACAGGTTGCAAAACCCATTAACAAAGGAGTCACTTTCACTACAAAAGTTGTAAATTACAATATGTATTTTGTAAAATTCATAATTAACTACATGTATAGTGAAATTTACCATTCACGTAATGGAATTTACCAAAAACCAGCAGGCATATGACAGTAGTTACGTTACGTAATTGCTTGCCATTGTTTTCTGATTTCCGTTTCGGTTCACTCCCTCTCTCACTACAAATCCTCTTTCCCACAATCAAAACCCACCAAATCAACAATCTCTACAGAATGGTGATGCGAAGGATTTAGTTTCGTCAACTGGAGGGGGTTCGGTTTCGT